GTTTATCATTGTTTGCTAACTATGTTTCGTGTATTCAAATAGCGTTAACGCATTACTCCGTATCGGGTGACTCTGTTTATTTTCGTTCAAACTTAAATGCGCTATTCGTCCATAATGGAGATTATACAAGTAGTTCACTTGTAGTAATTAACAATAGATTTATATTTGATATTTTCCTTATTATTCATGTTGTAACCACAATACAGTCAGTACGGGATGTGTGGTGACCGTTTTGTATCGTGTTACTGTTTCGTTTCATTAGGACAGTGTATTATTTATGTTTTCAAATAGTGCTACTATAATTTGACGTGAAAAATGTTGAAGTATCTTGTCAATTCGAGGGGTAACCGAATAGGACCTCTCGTAAACGACAAGGGTAATGATGTATGTATTGTAATCTAATATATTTGTTATTATTCGTCTAAATTTTGCTGGTAATTGTATCAAAACGTTTATTTTATATTTCCCTCTTATTTTCCTACAAATGCGTAGTATTATTATTATTTCGTTGATATTTTTGCTGCGCGAATAAGTTTATGAGTTATATATTTACTTTCCTAAACTGTCCACTGCTGAACATAGTCCTACTCTTATTAGAAAGATTTTCCAGTAGTTGCCACACTTAACAGACGGGTTGGCAAACTGCATTTGCCAATTGTAATTGGGTTGTATCCCTCGACCATTATGTTCGATTTCTCGCCTCTTATGACACACACAGGTAAGGAAGGTGTGGCCCATTCTATGCCGGGACTACACGACTATTTTTTATATTTAGTTTACTCATATTTTGTATGTACGTGTAATGAAATTATCAAAGGTCCGAATGAGTTTTTGAATTGGTTGTCAACTCGACTTGACTGTGTTACTAATATCTAATCGTTTTAAGTACCAAGTTTTATGTTTTCAATTACTTTCCGAGTGAGTCAACGTTTCAGTTATTTTTCAAGGTAAAATGTACATTTGTACTTTCGCCATGTATAACAACGTGTAGTCTGTGTGGTCCCGGCATAGAATAGACCACCCCTTCTTTTCCTTGTAGGTGTCGTAAAAAGTGGCTAAAGAAACAATGATATAGCGATTTTTTTTAACGGACGACAATGAAATGGTATCTCCGTCCCCGCTATTGGTATACACTGCCTGGGCACCAGTGAGTGATGATAGGTAAAGATAAACTCAGGTCTGTTGGTTTATTGGGACGACTTTAGCAATAATTAATCACGATGGTTTCCAGGGGGAACCGCGTGAAGGTTAACTTGATAGGGTATATTGCTAGCAAAGGGGATTAACTTCCCCATTACTAACCAATCCTTCTCCTCCAATCATAGAGGGGCGGGCAGCAGCGTCCCCTTTAAAACATCTCTTAAAAACTAACTGCGGTTACCAGCCCGCCTGCCAAGCGTGGCAACCACTAGGCATAACTCCCCTTATGGGGAGGCTTTTGTTCAGCAATGCACAATTAACGGCTGAAATGATGCTGTCTATCCATCCATATTTTATATTATCTCAAATATTACAATCCTAGGAGTATATATTATTGAAAGCTACATTCGTAAGTTGGTATATAATATTGATATTCTTTTTTTTTTTAATAAATTTCGCAAGAGCCCATCGAATAGTTATATTTCAGAAAAAGTACTTTCGTTATGTTGATGCTAAACGTATCACAAAATCAATTCACTCCGAGTAAAATATTTCTTGTTTTAGTGGGTATTTATGGTATTTATTTATAGAGGAAGGATAAACGCGGACAAAATTCCCATACGAAATATCCTTTTACGTTTATCCAGGCTTTTAAGTCCTAAAGGACTAACTTTTAGTTCAGTTACAATAAAACCTTTGAAAATGCATGTTATCAGCACACTCGCTCAAACACAGTTACTGGTTCACTCCTAAAAATCCGAATTAAATTAGAACGGTAAATTTAAGATACTGTAGACACATAAATTTTTGAGGTCCATACCAAATAGGTACAAAAGAACCCTTATGATGAGATTTTGTCTGTCTGTCTGTTACAGCGCTATATCTCAGTAACTATTAATGCTATCGATTCGTAATTTGTAATAGTTTTACATATCATTGGTCGGTACATATTTCAATAGAAGTAATTGAAAAAAAAAATTTTCTTTGGACTTCTTAACAAAAGAGGTACTTAAAATTTCAAAATATACTAGACCGAGTGGGATATTATATGAAAAGGCATTTGTATATTTTCCAGGTTATTTTTATTTATTTTTATGTTGCGTTGTTTTTTTAGTTGTGATCGAAAATGTGTCCGTCAAAAACAGACTTATTTATGCGGTTCAGGTTTCAATCATAATTATTGTAATATATTAAAATAAGAAATTACGAACTGTGTCAATAATAAATATTAGGTGTCTGTTTCGTATAAAAACATGCAAAAGAGTTCATTTAGTTATTTATATATTTATGTACGAAATCATCGGCGTGTGGTATCAACTCGCACCTGACCGGTGTTTTTGATTATTTCCGATAATTAATATAAAAATATTACCATTAAGTTGTTATTGTTATGTACAAAAGGTGAACAAAAAACTTCATATTTATTGCTCGAGCCGTTCTTGACTATTTGTTACATATTTATGTACATAGAATTATCTGTATGGTTACGGAGAGTAATATCAATATTTATTTATTTATATTGGTTTAATGGTAGTTTAATGTAAGAGGCTAGTGTCGCTAGTCGCTGTAATCGAGTGGTGAGTCGTTGTTTCGTATTTAGATCTATTTTTCACAAGTAATTTTAGACGCTGTCTATTTTATATAATATATAGTATTATTACATTATTAAATAAGTCACTCATAATAAATCAATATATTTTTATAATATGATTCTCATTTACCATCTTAATTAACTTACTGTACCTCTATAAAGATTAAGCGATCCTCTAACATTTCAGAGAATTTCACTATCGTCCTTTGATCTTATTATGGTTTTTTGTAGTAAAATATTAAATCTTGTCTTGTCGCTTTTCCAGTTTAATAGATTAACTTAATAAATTTTCGTAGATATTATAAAATAGTAGTTATAAAGAGTCTCTAATAACCATTTTGTCAAAAGACATCTTGTGGTATATACTTCAAATATTTTTTTTTCTTAACTTTGTCTGTTTAATCCTTAAGATTTACCTAAAATCATTGTTCCATATTTGAAATTGTGAATACATTTTTTTTCCATATAAATATAATTTTACTTATTTAAATTTTTAACATTCATCCAAATTATTTTCCGCACATTTTGCTGACTAGTTTATAAGTAGCTGGCTGTGCATATTCAGTTTTTATTTATGTCAATAGGTGTTTAATATCCCTCGACCATTAAGCTATTAAATGGACAGCAGCGTATCGCTTAAATCATCATCAATGCCTAACTTCAGTTGCCGAACCGCCTGCTAATCCTGGCAACCACTAGTAAAACCTCCCAATAGGGGTAGGTCTTTGTCCAGCAATGGACAATTAACGGCTGATATGATGTGTTTAAGATCACTGTTGACATAGTAATAAATTTAAAAAGAAATAATTTCATTTTTATTAAATCTAGTCTACGAACTTAATTTGGTGGGTTTGGGTACTAGTATAGTATTATATTATCTGTGGTTTGGGTAATAAATCACAAGGCCGTCTTGCTTTCAATAGAAAATATGTATATATGTGTAGGTTCGTATGAAGTCTAATATCAGCAGAACTTTATCAACTTTCAAAAACAATTTATTGGGAAATTGATATTTTTTATGAATGATTTATTTTAAGATACGTCATTTTGATGTTAAGTATAAAAGTTGGATATGAATCTGTATAAACTTAAAATGGGTCATATATTATATGACCCATTTTAAGTTACAATACTCACCCTTTTCATAAACTCTCAAACCTTCTCCAAAATTTTCTATCGACTCCATCAACTGGCAACTTGTAAATCGTAGAACTGACAATGATAACTCATCGTCCTTTAATTCGCATCAGAAAGGTCATCTTAAAAGTCATGCTCTCAGTACCCACTCAATGATGAAGCCCAAATCCATCATCCATATTATAAGTCAACCAGCTGCAAACCTTGGCATACGCGAGCGTACACCAAAAGCGCAAACGTAAGTGCTTGGGAACTCAAACCCAATACATAGCACAAAAAAAAGACCCATTTGAAGTTTATACAGTTAGTTTGATTTAAAAATATTATTATTGTCTATTTGTTACCTCTTAGCGCTTTAACAGCTTTACCGACCACTATGAAATTTGGTATACACGTACCTACTATATGGGATGGAGAAAAATATAGACTTTGTTGTAGTCAGTGAATATATCTCAAAGTCATGATTAAAAGTTATTGCAGATATAAATCCCTTTTGATAAAGTAATATAGATATGTTAAGTTTTTTTTCTTTTTACATTTTAACTACATATAGTGAGAAATTTACTTATTCTCAAAATAGATTGGTTTCTATCGCTGCATATGGAGACACATTTATACCTTCTTTATCGAGAAATATCGTTTATTTCATACCTATTTATATATAGTTTAATTTTTGTTTAGATGAAATTTCTTTGTTCTTTGTGTCATTGGTGTAACTTCCTAGATCTGTGTTACTAATCATCTGTATGATTTGTAGGGAGTTTCTAATTAATATCGTTACCAATTGTTAGATATTCTGCGACCGACGATTAAACGTGCCCTTTGATGCATAAAATAAAAGACAATAATTTGAAGAGAGTCGAATTAAAATCTCAATTTTTTTGACAACTTACCTGTTACCGTTGAATGTATTGTGGTTATGTATTATATATTTTTTTTATATAATTAATGGAATTAATATCCTGGTTATGAAATAAAAAAGAATACTCAGTATCGCGCCAATTTAGAAACTTTATTTCCAAAATTGATTTGATTGAAAATCGAATCCGATACCTTTTTACACGTAGCCAACGTACCTGCATCAGTGGGTGTTTGGAAATCGTTTACTGATAATCTTAATATTTTTGTACAGGACGGTCTTGAAGTCATGTTATCGGTACCGAAAAAGGCCAACGATGCTATGCATCTCTCTCTTCTCGAGGGCTGTGACGTGCCGACAGACAGCCTTGGTGAAGTGGTCCTCCAAGATTCGTTCCACGTCTGGGACCTCCGACAGATCATCAAGAAAGGCCGAGAGCGGAGGGTCTTCCTCTTCGACCTACATCTACTACTAGCAAAAGAAGTGAAAGACTCACACGGGAAAGCGAAGTATATTTACAAGACAAAATTCATGGTGAGTATTCTACACACACACACCTACACACCCACACACGCACACAACTTTGTATGTGAATATTGGGTTTCTAGCTATCACCCTTTGCTATACCCGCGTGATTTAAGTTTACCCGATACAAGCGGGCATAGTATTCTATATGTAAATTTAGGATGTGGTCTATGCATATATCAAATCTCATTCAAATCCATCCAGTCGCGATTAAGTAGAAAATAAATACCTTTACAAACAAACACAGTTACATTAGTAGCTGTGGATCCTAATCCTAATGGATGTCCGAGTTTATACTACTTTGTATAAAATAGCCGAACCTTTGCATAGCGGGAAGTTAAGCGCTTAAGTACCAAAGTAGAACTCTGGTTATAATCATATAATAAGACTAATTAATAAGTTTTTTTTTTTATAAATTTGTAATAATTTACATGAAATCTGATTTTACGTACTATAACGTTAAGCACGTAGTGAGTACGACATTTCTGTCTTTTGATCATTAAAATAAGTTTAAAAATTCATAATATAAATGTTTAGACATCCGAGTTGGGTGTGACGGAGCACATCGAAGCGGACGAATGCAAGTTCTCCGTGTGGACGGGACGGGAACCGATGGCAAGTGACTGCCGGATAGTGCTGAAAGCACCTTCGCTGGAAGTGAAGCAGACCTGGGTTCGACGTCTCCGGGAAGTTATACAGGTATATTATTCCAGTTTTTTTTTTTTCATTTGAAGAATGGCACAGCAACCCCGCCTGTGCTGTTACGTATGTATACGATGGCAAGGTACTAAATGGCTAAAAGTGGAAAGACAACCTCGATCTTGCTATTGGTATATGTTGGCGGTGTACCAGTGGGGGATGAATAGATAATGAAAAGTCTTGCCTGTCCCACCATGACGAATTCACTAGGGGTTTAATTAGGATGGTTTCCATTGAAACCGCTTGGAGGTCTACCTGGTACTCTGTATTAATAATATTGTAAGCAAACGTAGTATAGGATTACTCCTTAGATGAAGTGACGACTTAATGACCTCAGGTCTCGAGAGAGGATTGTGTTTAGAAGCATTTAATGATTAGCTGAAACTAAATAATATTGTTTAATCGAATACAAAGTATTCTTTGTAATTTGCCATACCAAAGAATCAATAGATTTCTTCTCGAATTCAGAATCTATGAAGGCGCTTTTCTCGTATACTTTTTTTTATACCACTGAGGTGGCAAACAAGCATACGGCCAGCCTGGTGGTAAGCGGTTACTATAGCCTATGAACGCCTGCAATACCAGAGGTATTACGCGCGCGTTGCCGACTATGTAGACACTTACTGCTAGGGTGACATTCTGTAAAGTCTGAAGTACTTGTACTATTCATACCTATATTACTGTTACCACTTCCCACTCAGTCAGCTTTCCTAGTAGTTCAAGAAGAAGTACAGATTTTCGCTTTCGGTATTCCTTACTGAATCTTTGTTATTTTATAGAACGACCGTACTTATTTAATATCGCCTTTGATCGCCTCTCAAAGTAACCCGAAAGTTGACTAATACAAAATGCCTCGCACTCGTTAACTCCGCCTTTGTGCATTACTTGTATTAACAGCAACTTTCATTTAAACTCTGTTACTATTAATACGACCACTATAGTCGTTGGATTCACATTACTTTGTTCAACAATAATCATCATCATCATATCAGCCTTTAACTGTCCACTGCTGAACATAAGCCTCCCCCTTAGGGAGTTTCGCCAGTAGTTGCCACGCTTAACGGACGGGTTGGCAACCGCAGTTAGGCTTGAGAGATGTTTTAAGAGGGACGCTGCTGCCCATCCCTCGTCCTTCCTTAGTCGATTCTTACGACACCCATGGGAAAGATAGGGGTGGCCTATTCTATGCCGGGACCACACGGCCTAAACAAAAATAAATCATCAATAATGTTGGATGCGAATAGTGAGGTTTCTCAATGAGATGCAAATGGTAAGCCTGTCTGTGCCAAGTCGACCTCAACGCGGTTCCCTCTGGAAATCATCGTGGTGAATTCTTGTGGAATTCGTCACGATGGGCCAACTCACCTGTTTGATGCTCACCTATCAACCTTCACTGGTGGTCCGCCAAGGTACACTACAGAAGTACAGGAGGGTTACCATTCCATTCAATTACTCTACGGTGAGGTAAATATTAGTGTAGAGTTTTCTTTCTCTTGATCTGCTGTGTATTACTTTGAAGTCAGCTCTTATAACATTCTAGCCATGAAACAGATTGGTGACATTTCGAACACTCTATTATTATATTTTTACATAGTTATTTTCTTAAAAAAAATAATAAAAAAAAGACAGTGAAATATTGTTATATACTGTAACATAATGCACTGGCAACTTTCCTCGTTTCGATGGGTAAACACTTTCCATCAGGTGAACCATCTCTTTTGTCTAACAATATAGAAATTCCTGTATTGTATTTGATTCTCATTACATTTTACCTTCCAAATTAATACAATTCAAATAAAATTTGCTTTATGTATTCACGTCGTAATTACGTATGGACGTACGGATCCCCTTGACCTATTTCCTATGATGAATACAAATGTATGGCAGGCTCCGACTAATTAATGATGTTTTGTAGGAAACGTACTTCAGTGGAGCACTGCAGCAGCCTCCACGCAGTCCCGGCCGCGTCCGACCTACCAGCTCACAGAGATCTAGCAGGTAACAAGGATTAATGCATAAAAACTTCATCGTTCCCCACAAAGAATGATACACCTACGCTTATTACAACCTATGCAACGAAGATGCAGTCGTTTGTATTTTAACTCAAAGGAGTAAACAAACCTATATTATACCTTTGGGAATAATATCAATTGTCTTTAAATTTTTCATGGCCTATATAATTATTCAAATTTAGAATACTGTAAAAATTTCATCGCAGTCAATCGCTACTGGATGTTTCTATTCTATTTCTACGTGCGTGAAAAATATAGAAAATCATGAACAAAGTAAAAATAAAAAGACAAATATAGTTTTAACAAACATTAATTATCGCATATACTATACACCAATAAATTACATTTCCAAAAATATTTACATTTTATAGTTTTGACTTTGTTACGATTTTATTTTAAAAGATATAGAAATAGACGTTACAAGAAACAAAGTGAAGAGGCAACAATGGGCGCCTTTATCGCTAAACAGCGATCTCTTTCAAGCAAACTTGGGATGGATAGGAGTAATTAAAGTTATATCTGGTGGTCTACCAAACGAATAATAATATTCAAAAAGGGTCAATGAGAAGCTAAAACCAAAATAAAAATATGATAAATAAATATTATATTTATAGAAATAAATGCAAAATAATTAATACAAACGTGGACGAAAAATAATGTAACTGAACTAATATTAACTAACTAAATTAATATTATACTTAAATAAGAAAAAAAATATTTTTTTTGTTTGTAATGGATTAGCTAAAAAAAATTGTTAACTGATTTCAAAAATCAATTCACCTATAGAAAGCTACAGTATCAGTAAGTAACACGGGCTGTATTTAATTTTCAAAAAATCATCGCAAGCCAGGTCGTATTGCTAGTAATAAATACAGACAAGCTTCTGCAAGACATACAATTTCCTTAAACAGTAATTTTTAAATCAGTGATTTGGATTAGCGAAGCTTAACTATCAACTTTGTATTTATCGATTACGTCAGCATTGAAAGTCATTACTTAATAAAAAAAAAAAAAATATTTTTAATTAATTACCTTTTTGCCTCGTAGATGTACGTTGTACAACGCCCTTTTAAAATCTGTAGAATAAAAATTAAATCTCTGTTCATACAAAATTGTGCGTACATAAAACATGTAAGATAATTTGCCAATACTAATAATAAATTTCCTCGACAGGGACCTTGAAGAGACTCTTTTAGATGAAACTACAGAAAATCTAGACAGAAATTCGCTGGCGTCCTTCGGTAGCGGTAATACTACAGATTCTGATAAGGTAAGCCTAGTTTTGTAAGACGCATTGAAATACTGATTATTTGTGAGAATTCTGGTGTCACAATTTCTTACTGCCACTATTTCAGTTCTTGTTGAACGTATCAACAAAATAAATGATATTAATATGGTTAGAATTTTTATCTTTATTCTCAAACTACCTTTTGCCCATTACGTCGTGCGTGTTGATTTGGAAGTAGTTATTTACATGTAAGTGGCGTATAAAGATAAAACTTACATCAGATTTTAAGTTAGACATTCATAAATACAACTGTGAAAATTGCATCCAATTTGATGCACTAGTTTTTATATCTTACACAACCAAAAGTTATAAAAAATGTTGTCGTTTCTATTGCTTATATTAAGACCCCTCATTGACAATTATTCTTAATTACTTTGTGTGTACAGACAGCGTCACGTTATAATTATATTGGCAGTAAGAATGACAAATGAGTTGGAAAGGTTCGAGATAATAGACTATATCTACTGATACATATATTATTTTTATGTATTAAATCTTTGAGTAATAATACATGAAATATATAGGTGTCTATACTATGTATTATATGATATATTGTATTTATTGTTGAATTACCACATATATAAAAGGTCATTTCATAAAAAAAAAATTATATAGGTACTGAAAAATTACATTGCTCAGTGTTGTACTGTACACAACAAAAATATAAAATAACTACACTCAACCTTATTATGTATATATAGTAAAATAGAGAGAGATAGAAATACAGTGTTCCGTTGCGAGGGTCTTGTACAGGCTTTGTGAAGGACCTGACTCAGCATTTGCAACGGTCTGTTGTACGAGTTTGTGTGCTTTGACTTTTCCCCGAACTGAATACAAAAGGAAAACAGCTTTAATGGACGAATAGATGGCCTGAAAGTGTTTTTGTATATGTAGTCTATCTGTACAGTTATTTATTTTTGGTAAAAAATTACAATTATTAATAATTAAATTACATATTGTAGTACTAATATTTTGTGAATTTATATATATATATATATATATATATATATATATATATATATATATATATATATATATATATATATATATATATTCATGAATTATTGAATTTATAATAGTTTTAGACGTTTTCCTGTCAGATTATTATAGTCATTTATAGGAGTAACATAGGAAACAGTATTATTATTCGAAGATGGGCTTTTTTCAGGAAGATAAATCTGTAATACTGCGACCTCTGTGAACTACTGTGTTCACCCTCCCCCTCCCTTTTTTTTAAAGACCGCTGCTGATTCTTGTCAGTGATAAGAATTTTAAGATGTTTTTAGCAGTTGTATTTTTGATCTCCTCAGAATATAAAGTGTATTTTTCAAAGAACCTATATCGTTTATGTGAGTGATGATGATGTATGATGAGTGAGTGGGCTGCAGTAACAAATTATGCGCTGTGGGGTTTTTTCCTTAGTGTGAAAAAATCTGTAAACAATTTTTGGACATAAACTTATTTAGTTTGCAAGGTTCAGTAAGAGCCCTTGTTAATACACAAATATTATTTTTACTCAAGCGAGTTAATTTCTTTGAGTAGTTTTTAGAAAACCTCTTTATCAGGCTTTCGAGTTATTTAATCCTGGCTATAAAAACCAGCTTTTATTTGCTGTTTTTTAAGCTTTTTAGTTTGAGATGTCTGAACTTTAGTCTTCAAGGCATGCCACAATAAGGTTCTGGTCCTATTTGACCTTTGTTTGCCCTCTTCCTTTGTTAATTGGTCACTTGTTTCATTTCCATGAATGTCTGAATGACCAGAAATCCATCACAAGATGATGTTATTTCAACTGCCCCAGTCATTTAATAACATTACGTAGTTATTTATGAGTTTTGATTTCACTTCGTATGAGTCAAGTTCAAGTAATGCTGTTTGACTGACCGAGTATAAATATATTATTATTTATTGAATTAAAACATAGATTTAGTTCATCACATATCTTATTAGGGCCATAGTTACTACCTGAAAGATTGTGGCATATTTGCCTAAGTTTTAAAGAGCTGTGGCTTAAGTGTCTTATACCATATCTCGCATTTTTTGTAGTTATTCTTTATTTCATTTATCTCTTTCAGATATTTCAATTTTGTAATGTTTTACTTGCATTTTAGGATCGTGTCATCTGACATTCTTAAAATAGGGTTGCTCATTATTAATTATTCGATGGATTTATGTGTCTGTGATTGCCATGAGTTTTTTCTGTGGGAACTATTTTGAAGCATACTGGCTTTTCATAGTAAGGGTGTTAAGTTCAGTAAAGTATTTTGAGCCGCTTCCGGCGTAGTACTAATGGCGCCTGTAATTATTAGACTTGTTATTCTGTGTAGGTTGTTTAGTTTATTGGCAGTCGTCGCTTGCAGTGTTTTTTTCCTCCAGATTACGCAATGTATGTATGTTGTTAACGGTCTTACAATGGCGGTGTATAGCCACAGGGCAATTTTGGGATTTATCCACCATTTACCATACCTGTCAAGCAACGGCTAATGTCAAATGCAACTTTAGCGTTTTGAATGATGAATCTATGTGCAAGTTCCATGCGAGGTTTTGGTTTATGATCACGTCCAGGTACTTGACCCCTTTGGAAAAGTTGATAATTTTGCCGTTTACTGTAGGCATTATTAGTTTATTTAATTTCTTTCTTTTAGTAAATGCAACGATTTCAGTTTTATCAGGATTTTCTGATAATTTGGTTTCATAACACCATTTTATTATGACGTTAAGAGCTCTTTAGATATGTTCTGATATAGTACTTTCACAGAAATTTCTGACCATAATTACAAGGTCATACGTATAACCCTCTACTTCGATGTTATTTGTTCCAAGGGTTGATCTATTTTAGAAACCACATCAGAGGCGATAAAATGTGATGTATTATAAGTATTTATTTCAATTATTCGGTTCGAGAGCATTGACTTTATTCAATAGTTTCGCTACCCCTTTTCGGAAAAGACCCTGTATAATAGAGTCAAAAGTGGTATTATCAAATGCGCCCTCAATGTCAAGGAAAGCACATAGCGCTCTTTGCTTGTTCTCAAGGGGGTGTTCGACTTTGTTGGTGATATCGAGTAAGGCGGTTTCAGTCGATTGTTCCTTGTGGTAGACGTGTTGATTCCTGTGCAAGGGAGTTTTACTGAGGACTGGTTTTTATATGCTGATCTAGTACCTTTTCCATCGTTTTAATGAAGAAACAAGTAAGATTAATTCTGTTTTGTGAGATTTCGGATTCGAGTCTCTTCTTCCAGCTTTTGGTACTTTAGTCTTTGTGAATGTTTCTGGAGTTATTGAGTTCAGGTTTGATAGTCCGTTGTATTTGGTTGAGTCGGAAGATTCTGATTACACTGTTATACTCCAAATGTTTTGGTCTGTTATGAGCAATATGTTTTAGTATATTTGGATGAATTTTTTCGTGACCTTCATTGACTACTATGCTTTCTGATGAATCAAAGAAGTGTATTTTTGATAGCAGTCTACATTTAAATATTGGAATCAAAACAATTTCACAATCATAATTACAGAAGAAAAAAGAAATGACCAAGGAGTATCACAACGGCGGGCACATTACCCACTATAAGTAGCGCTGATTTCTATAACGGCCCATGTTGAACGCAATAGAATTTTATAATTATTAGTTCGACTTAAAAATTGGTATATGTTTCAATAAAGTCAGGTAAACTTTGTAATGAGATTTAGATTAGATTCCTTCATTGTATGAAGTCACATAAAACGTAGAAAGTAGTCTTTGTTAATTGGACAGTTTGGTCTGGATATAAAGAAAAAACACATCGTATAATATAATATGAGTACTAAGGAAGGAGTACCTACATTTCAGTTAAAATAGGAATTAAGTGGTAGAAAAGGCAAAATTAATATAACATCAGACGTCTATCATAATATCTTAAATATAAAAATACAAAATACTTGAACATGTAGTGTATTTATGAATAGAAGTCTATTTTAGAAAGGATTACCCAAATTATCCTCGGATTGAAACGTGGGAAATGCCTGATAACAAAACTAATAAAACATCAGAAGTCTGAGATATTTAAATATAAAATACGCGAAAACGTAGTTGTGGCAAAATAATGAGTTCTTAGAAAGGAGTAAAAAAATGTTCTTAAACAGGAATTAAATGAGGGCTTTTGTTAATTTATTAGATATATAAAAACTTATCAAACAGTGTTCATACAATATGACATGGACTAAATAAATAAGTTTTTCTGTATAACGCACATATGGCGGCCATTGGTGTGCAAATACACGGGAAAGGACCGGTAACAAAACTAATATAACATCTGTAGTCTGTGATATTTTAATATAAAATACTCGAACGTGTAATTGTGGCAAACAGGAAAATTTCCAATTTTCCTGGTTCACCAAGTTTTCTGACTACATTTTACACACGCAGCGCCTCCATACGAGTACGCCTTCTATTTTGTCCGTTCTATGTTCTGACCGTGTGTATTCGTCAGTAATTTTGTTGGTAGCGAACTATTTTATTTGTATTTCATAACTCGCGTAACGAGGTGGGGTATTCTATTTCGTATACGAGTATAGTTATACGTACATACGCGATATCTATATAGTGTGTGTCTCTCTCTATACTTCACACAATTAGTAATAGCAGCGTATCTTTTTACTAAATTTAGTCATTTAACAATATTTTGCTTCGCAAATCATAAAACACGATTGCCCTGAAAAACAAGTAGCTAGTGTCACTCAAGATGATGTTAATGTAGGCTCTAACGTTATCCCACATATCCATCTGTATGTGAGGTATCGATCAAATAGAAATCCATACTTATTTTAGATGGGGAAAGACATATGTAATTAAATGTATTTATGGGTAATTAATATAAAACTTATTTTATGTACTGTTGTTTCTATGAAAAGACACACCAATAGATTATTGTACAAAATTTTGTCAAATATAGAAAAACGGATTTTACCTATAGTCTGGGAACTATTTCAATATTAAAGTTTTCAGT